CTTCGCTTCTACCCAAAGTCCCGCTCGTTGAATCACCTGAAGTACCTGGACCTGAGCCACAATCAAATAATCGAGGTGATGAACCTGTGCGACAACATACTGACGTCCATAGAGACGCTGAACTTGTCCAACAATTACATCTCGATGATCGACAATAATTTCGTGAATATGTTGTACCTGAGAACGCTGGACTTGTCGAACAATCGGATCGCCATACTGCCCACGATGTTGATATTCAACTCGAGGTCCCTCGAGGTGCTTCTGCTGAGGAACAACAGCATCGAGGACATCGACGATCTGTTCAAGAAGAACTCGTTCAAGGAACTTGAGCTACATCTCCAGGACAATCCGTTCTCGGCCGTGAAGTATTCCAATTTCCAGGTACATTTGAAAGACCGTGACACGAGATCAGAATTGACGAACAGGGTATCGATCGAGAGTTTCGGTGAAATAGATGACATAGACGACGTGGACGACACAGATGACGTGTCTCAGTATTAGGATTAGCGATCTCGAGGTAAGTTTCCTCCGTTACGAGCGTCGTCCCGTCTCGTTCAGACGTCTAATCTTTGGTTTTCAGGATTTCTCGTACGGTTTCTCCCACGCGTCTGTACAACGATTCTCCACTTGCTATATTCAGAGAGGCTATCGATAAGGAACTGCGACTGTTTTCCCAGTAGGAAGAGAAAATCATTTATCATATTTGCGTTGCTTACGAGGGATCTAGAAGATTCGAAATATTATTATTTTTTCTTCTTATTTTACTTCCACAAATTTTATTAACCACGTATTCATCGATATATTACTTCGCTACTAACGTTTCAACTTAATGAACATTTAATCACTTTTGTACTGTGTAAACCATTGAAATAAAATAAACGTCAGCTGTACGTCGATTGTGTTATTTATATTTTATTCGATACGCTTCGAACCACCGAAATTTATTAGATCGAAATCTATAAAAATCGAAATGTCGAAAAAAAAAATATTTATATCAGATCAAATGTTCAGTCAACGTTTGAACATTGGTTTGTTCGATTGCCATTCATTCATTGGAGATCGAAACTTGATATTTTTGGAAATATTCTGCAGTCAGAAGAAGCGTTTTCTAATGAACTTTGAATTTTACTGTTTTGTAATTTTTTTTTTCAATGTGTCCGTTATTTACAAACTTGTACTTTTTTCTTCTGATACGTCTATTATCCTATTTAATTCAACAGCTTTTCAGAAGTTTGCATCAGGAAATATTTAGAGACAGAGTCTTCGAAAAGTTTGTCGCTTCTAAAAACTAAGACTTCTTCGAAAAGAGCATTTTTCCCATTAAAATTCTGTCAATTGATGCATATTTTAATTAAAGTCCAAAAAGGATTTTCAAAAATATTCAACATAAACTTTTTATCTTTTTAAAAGTCCGACATTTCGCACGATATTACATTTTATATTTTAGAAGACCAGAACATAAAAAACCATGTTTGACATTTTATAAGATTTTTCGATATTGCATTGAATAAACTTTAAACCAAATAATGATATCTTTAGAATTTACGAGGAAATAAAAGTTCGTTATAATACTTGAGTAATAAACATCAGTCAGCAAAAGTTCATTTGTAAGAAATTTTCTTGCTGAGTCGGTAACGTCACACAATACGTAGGGGGATCCCCGAAATTAACCAAACTAGATACATCGCAAGAGATTCCTTTCCCTCTTGTTCTAAAATAGAAAAAGTATTGCATCGAGTAAACTAACCAAATATCTCTTTTAGAATTCACAAAATGTATTCCAAGGAATTTAAGTTCGTTGTAACACTTGAGTAATAAACATCAGTCAGCAAAAGTTCATTTGTAAGAAACTTTCTTGCTAAGTCGGTAACGTCACACGATAGGGAGATCCCCGAAATTAACCAAACTAGATACATCACAAGAGATTCCTTGCCCCCTTGTTCTAAAATAGAAAAAGTATTGCATCGAGTAAACTAACCAAATATCTCTTTTAGAATTCACAAAATGTATTCCAAGGAATTTAAGTTCGTTGTAACACTTGAGTAATAAACATCAGTCAGCAAAAGTTCATTTGTAAGAAATTTTCTTGCTGAGTCGGTAACGTCACACGATACGTAGGGGGATCCCCGAGAGAAGCATTAACCAAATGCAAACTAGATGCGACATTGCACAAGATTCTTTATCCTCTTGTTCTAGACTATCGACTTGAAAAACAATCAGACCAAAAATCAAATCGCTCTGCGTAATTCACTAAGGCATCACATCGAATTTAATCTACAGTTTTCAAACCACTGAGTAAAGATCCAAAGGAAATATTTTGTTTCGATCTTTCTGAGCCAGGACTTATCGGGTCGATGAATATCCACCGATACTGTTTTCGTTCCACAGTTCTATACAGATGGCGACGATGGTGGCGAACGACGATAGAAATCGTACAACGAACGATAGAAATATGCGATAATAAAATAAAATAATAGAAATATCGCACGACGTTTGTTAAAATTTAAACGGTCCTCAGTTTAAAATTCTCACTTCTTAGGACGATATATTCATTCCACAGCGATACATGAATTTATTAAACTATTAATTAGTGAATTAAAATTATTATTAAATCATTAATCGACGATCATAAAGGCAGCCAACTGAGAGTTAAATTTCCAATTTCGTTTTCGTTCTTTGTCCTCCAACTAAATTCCAAACCGTTCTTTCAAGGATACTCTCACGTTTGGGAATTGCTTCGTTAGCACTGTGACGATCAGTTTGTTAAAAAGAAAAAGAAAAAAAAAAAATCAGTAAAATTTCAATAGAGCAGATACTATAATACTCCAATAATTCCACGTGTCTTAATTTCATATTTAGCTAAACTTTCTCGAGCTATTGTATTCTTTTACGATATATATAGTATATCGAATGGGCTTTCATGGGTTAATGGGCGACAGCACGCTGTTGTTCAATCTCTCCCCTAACGATAATGTTCCTTCCACTCCGGTATGATAAATTCGTAACAATCGTAAGAAGCGATGGAGCTGCGTCGTTTTCATGGATAGAGCAGAGATCTCGATTGCAACGATACAGGGCCATCGTTCCTCGGGATAGAGCTTAAAAGAAGAAAGAGCCTGTGGCGTTGTATTTATCACACGTCCCCCCTGCGGATTCCCAGCATTGTCGCCGAGTGTCTTTTATCAACCATAGCGAGGAGTACATTAGAAGGAGTACGAAGGGGGTCGAGATCCCACGAGCTGAAAGGGAGATCGATAAAAACGAAAAGAATGTTTTTCCATTTAAGCATCGTTCGTTTGATGAGCCATTCAAGACGGTTCCTTCTTCCTTCAGGTTGTCGAAACAGAAAAGAAGTGGAAGATTTGATGCTGCGCTTGTCGAATAGTATCGACGACGAATACATTATCGTTATCTAAGAGTGAAAGTCAAGTTTATGGGATCGAGATACAGATGCCCTGCACGCGTTCCGCGAGGCTATGTATAGTGCTATTTAATAATTAGGGGCGCGCGAGATCCCGAAATTCTTGCATCGAGCCGACATTTTGGAAAATTCCAAAAGCTCTTAAGACAGCAGAACTATCAAAATGATCAGAAATGATTAATTCACAATTTTTTGTTAGATACTTTGTAGACGTGGAGCAGCTTGTTTTTAAAAATTTAGATAATTAATTCGTAAAATATACAAACAAAATCTCTGATGGAAATCTCATCTGCTTTGATCGTCGAGTTTAAAACCCGATTGCTGTCTCAAGACAAGAATTACACTTACAAAATTCATTTATTCAATTGTTATTTAAATTGTTCGTCATAGGATTACAAAATTAGAGAATTTTCGATGCGGGGAGACTGTGTAATAACTTAATAAAAGTATATAAGTAAATATGACTTAAGGATATGAATGTGAGAGAGAAAGAGAAAAGGAACGAATGGCAACGAGGGCGTATATTTATCGAGAAAAAGTCGATTGCGTCGTTGAGTGGAGTAAATTTGATGTGGATTCAATTGTTGAGTAGAGAAGAGTAATAGAATGTGGATTTGATCGTTGAACAGCGAGAAGAGCAATAGCAGAGAGTCGCAAGAGATTGAGCAGACAATGTGTAGTAGAATCTATCCACAGCTTAGTCAATCAAGTTTAGTCTTAAGTATATACGGTGGTCCATTTACAAACAATATTTTTTGCATCATCACAATTAGCAAAGATATTTAGGTGGCCTCACTTGAACGGACTACCTTGTATGCCAAATTAAATGTACGTATTTTGGCGTTACACCCTAACCTCCAAATCTCATGATATAATGGAAAAAAAAATTCTTTGCTTCTTCTGCTATAATTGAAATCAGAGACGTTTATTATTCGAGTAAATCTTTATTTCAATTTGAACTCGAATAATCTTCAATTATTGGCTTCTCATTGGTACCAATTGGACAGACACTAATTATCATTTTCACCACCATGGAAGTCTTGAAGTCGTCCACGAAGATACCTGCAGATCTACGTTCCTTGCGCTTTCGCGAAATCGAAACGTACCGCCGGCGAAATTCGATGCTCGATCGATCGGTCGTCTGAGAACGAGGGGGAGGAACCGAAGAACCATCGTCGTTTGGCTTTCCCTATGTCTCGCTTTTCGGATTCCAGGGGGTTGCAACTACGCGGGTTATTCGAACCGACGAACCAACCAACGTCGGATAAAACCGCGCGTTTGATTTATCCTCGCTGTCTCGTTTTATCCAGAATAAAACCGGAGGGAAAAGACATTTAGTCAAAGAGAGAGAGGGGTTGGAATCGCGAAATCGCGGAAGAAAGAAGCGTTACGCGAACGTGAGGAGCGCGTTCCGTCCGGTTAGATCTGGCCTAGGTTGACCAAGCCACCTAGAGAAGCGAGATGTCGGGGGTAGGAGGCGCCCCTGCTGATCAGGGGTGTCAGTTGGGGTGGAGGAAGAGGGTGGTCGAATAGGTGGAAACGCATGCGCTCCCTTTAGCCGGTACGCCGGGGCAGGGATGCTCGGTGAGACAGAAACGCGAACGGTGTGTATGTGAGAGAGAAAGAGAGAGAGAGAGAGAGAGAGAGAGACTTCGACCAACGGAGAAGGATAGCTGCAGAGCGTATTCAGAGAGAGTGAAAGAGCGAGAGAGCAAGAAAGATGACGAAATGGATGGAACGAAGAGAGCGACAGGGAGAAACGGCAGGGATCTAAAGGGTAGACAAGGACACAAATTGGAGTGCGTAGCGAGAGAGAGAGAGAGAGAGAGAGAGAGAGCGAGGGTCTGCCGCGTCTAGGCAGCTCGAGATTCTCTACTCCCACCCAGCTCTCCTCTTCCTTGCTCGCTTTCTCTCTCTCCTCTTTCAGTGTTCGTTCGAACACGGCCCGGTACGGTTCTGTCGCCCCGTGCTCGAAGGATCCTCTTCGTGATGGGAGCTCGCTGCCGCGGTGGTATCGGCAGGTTCCCTCGGTAGCCGATTCCCCGACCCCACCGATGTCACACGGCTCGTCAGGGTGACACGCGCGCGCGGTTCCTACGTTGTCTGGTTCTCGTTCACGCTCGGATAATCGACGCGTACACTACGCGCGTACGCAAACACACACACACACACA